CATACATACATACATACATAGATAGATAGATAGATAGATAGATAGATAGATAGATAGATAGATAGATAGATAGATAGATAGAGAGAGAGAGAGAGAGAGAGAGAGAGAGAGAGAGAGAGAGAGAGAGATTTTTGGCTACACAATTACACACATGCAGACACACACACAAATTTTTTTTAGTATCTATACAGCCACAGCCCCCAGACATCCATATCACCACTAACCTAGCATTTATGTTTTTGTTTTTTTTGTAACAACGGCTGCCAAACCTCAATAATGGAAAAATACAGTCGATTTTACTGCTTATTATTTAGTGTGTGTTTGCTCTGCTGGGGGAGCAGGAGAAAATGTATGATTCAGCTGGATTTTAGTAAAAACTTCCATTTTGATCCCCTAACTCTGGAATGCATGACTAATATCATCAAATTCATGTTTCTAAATTGCCATGAGGCTGTGATGAACAAATACGGAATTTATTGTTTTACATTTAGCTATATTTTCACATAGGGATTTGACATGTGTATTGTGAGTCCATGTACACACACACACACACACACACACACACACACACAAACTAATATTGCAACATTTTTATACAGACCACACTGTCACATCCTTATGAGCACAGCAAGACCATTTTTTGATCTACTCTGCATTTGCCCTCCCTGTTAGGGGCCTATAGTGCTTCAAGTGGCCAAACCAGGAATTGTATTGAAAAGACAGCAGGGCCCTAAAAATGGAAATTGGCCCCATCTGTTTTTTTTTTTAATTTTTTTTTTTACCATTCTTGGATCTCTCTAACCACCCTGACTGCCAGAGATAGAAAAAATGGCATTTTAATGGGTTTCAATGGGGACGGTTTTCGTCCGAGAGGGTGAGGTGTTGTAAAAGGTTGCCATTTGTGTATTTTAGGCCTGATTTAGGAGCGGCTTTAAAATTTCAAAATATCACCAAAAATAAGGTTTCTGACCAAATATCATGCTATATATGCACGAACACAGACAAAGTTATCAAAAAATAAAAACTGAAAAGGACATTTTCCGTCCGAGCGGGACCGGAGGGTTAATGAAACACGCAGTATTTTTTTATCCGACTACTCGATTAATCGCCAGAATAATTGATAGAATACTCAATTACTAAAAGAATCCATAGATGCAGCCCTATACTCAAGTGCAAGCCTACCTAAAAAAAAAAGTACTTAACAGCATTTGAGTAAATGGTCTTTTACTTTGTACCAGTGTTTAAGAGGCTCTGCCAGATTCCTTTCTGTTTCCTTTGTAGGTGGCTCCTTAAAACCGGGAAGTAGCCTTTGCCTTACTGTTAGTCGCTCGTCAGTGCTGTTGACGCACCAGGCACCAGAGAATGCGATCAGTCAGGTTGTTGCGGTGCCTCACTCATACCTTACCGAGCCTACACAGTAGCCTGTGCCTGTGCATGTAATAAGTGAGTCTATCAAGTGTTTACACCATGGATGATCTTTACAAGTATCCTATTTTCTTCGAGTGTCCCAGTCTGGACGGAGAGCAAAGGAAGAGGATAGAGAAATACTTCAATATTCGTCGCAAATCAGGAGGTGGAGACTGCAGCCTGATAACGGTCATACACGATGGAATTCACAGCATTGCTTTTAGAGAGCAAGATGGTAAGACACGTTTGTTTATTGACTTATTTATTTACTTATTTCCTGTTTAACTGGGTGTTTTAGTGCTTGAAAGTGTGTCGTCATGTGCTGGTGAAAGTGAAAGTATGCCTGCGCTGAAAACAAGTGTCATGTTTTTATTTTATACATTTATAAATAGCTTATACACATATGAAAGAGACTGATTTTACTGCTTGCAGAGCCACATCTGAACTTTCAGGCTGTCGGTGTAACTTTGTACGCAAACTGTGTATCAGCTGCCCCTGTCTAAATATGGAAACATATCATTCTAGTTTCACTTTCACAATGAGTCCAGACTGCTCTTAAAACAATACATAATACCTTTTAGACCTCGCATGATCATGCAGTAACTGACATTCTATTCTTGTGAGGGAGTTTATAAAACAAAAGGCATCAGAATATGCCAAAGCCTATCAATCATTCCATCACTGCCCCACATGACTGCATAACTTCACATGCACTAAAGAGGGTGTGGCTTTAAAAACAGCTGATGTTATTCTGAGATGGAAAAACACACACACAGGTTGAAAGCATGGATGGATAATGACTCACTGGGGCCCTGGGCACAGACATGTGAAAGCCCCCCCCCCCCCCCACCCCTCCTTTACTGGAGCAAGAAACACCTACACTACTTTGTTTGTAGTCATTTTGTGCTTCTTCGTTGTGAATTTGATTCTCTTTGTGGTGCTTTTGCATAAGGCTGTGCAATTAATTGTCCGGTGCTCGTGATTACGAGTTTTGAGGTCATACGATTTCAAAATTAATGAAATTGAGGGTAAACAATTTTTGGTAGCCTAATTTTCCATCATGGACGGCTGGAGATTTTATTTTGTCTTCTACGGAAGACTTCAGCTCAAGTTATGTCACGCTCGTTAGAGCTGGGCGGTATGACAAAATTTTCGTATCACGTTTAAAAAAAGAGTCATATTGGTTTCACGGTATTTGACGGTATTTTTCTCAGGTTCGGCCCACTTGACATGCTGCTGTGTTGTGCTATGGCCTATCCAAGTGCTGGAATTTGTTATTTACGTGACAACGCCTGAACGCAACACAGGCTCCGCTCTATTAGTGCCGTGCTTGGTTATAATTGTCTTGGCTTTGGTCAGGAAAATGCGGCCCGAGCCGCACTCGAGTGTGCTCACGTGTGTGTGTGTGTGTGTGTGTGTGTGTGGGTGTGTGTGTGTGTGTGTTTGTGTGTGTGTGTGTGTGTGCGTGTGCATACGCATCGGGGCGAAACTCTGCCATGCACGATACAGAGAGCAGAGGAGGATTGTAAACACGCAGCCATGTAGAGACAGAAATGCCGTCATGTAAAGAAGATAAATAACATAAGTCATCGTGTAATAAATAAATAAATAAATTAACTCTTTGATAACCTCAGAAGTTCTCGATGCTTTTGGTTTGATGTTAGGGCCTGTCGCAGTCAACCACCAAAGTGTGGTGCAATTCTGAGCACTGGAAGTGGGTTAAACAATAGCTTTTAAGTGGGGTTCTGCGCTATGCCCTTAGAGTTAGCCGTTTGAGCCATTCGGCTAGTATGCGCTGAAGCTGTCTACCTAGCGCTACATCTGATACGCATGATGTTGCTTCCCAAGGAACGTTTCAACGTTTTATCATCCAGGAATACACCCTAATCAATTTTACCCCAGATTGGTCCTTTTAGCAATGTTAGAGCACCATGTAGTGCCACAACTAGGCCTGTGTATTTTTTTCTAAATACATTATCAACGTATAAGCATCCAGCGTAGTTCACTGTTATATAAATGATAAATTCAGCATGTTTTCAAAGTCAAAACATACTCGTTTGCATAATCGTGATTTCAATTTTGACCAAAATAATCGTGATTATGATTTTTGTCCATCATCGAGCAGCCCTAGTTCTGCATCTCTAAAGTAATTTTGGGTCTTTTGTAGTAATTTTGCAGCAACAACAACATTGTTTGAAGTAGTTTTGTGCCTTTTCGGTGTTACATCTGTTACATCTCTTTGTGGTAGTTTTTGTGTTACATTTGGGTCACTTTACTTCTTGTTGTGGTCATTTAGGACATCTTTGAAGGTGTTTTCTGTCTCTTTGTGGCCCTCTTCTATCTGTTGGTAGTAGTTTTGAATCTCTTTGTGGTTGTTATGTGTCTCTTTGTGGTGGTTGTGCATCTCTAAAGCCATTTTCCATTTGTCTGTAGTCATTTTGCATCTCTTTGTGGTAATTTTTTGTGACATTTGGGTAATATTCCTTCTTATTGTGATAATTTTGCATGTCTTTGTGGTGTTTTCTGTCTCTTTGTGGCCCGCTTGTATGTCTTTGTAGTGATTTTTTTGTGTCTCTAAAGTAATTTTGTGTCTTTTTGTAGTGATGTTGCGTCTCTTACTTGTAGCTTGTGTTTTGTGTTGCTTTATGGTCATTTGCACAATAAGTGGTTCCTATCATTGGGGCAAGACACCCCATGATGAAGCAACTACACGGTTTGAAGTAGTTTTGTGCCCTTTTGATGTTTTTTTGCATCCCTTTGCTTCTGATGGTGATAATTTTGCTTATATTTGACAGTGTTTTCAGTCTCTTTATGGCCCTCTTGTATTTCTTCATAGTGATTTTGAGTCATTTTTGTAGTGTTGTTGGATCTCTTACTTGTAGTTTTGTGGTCGTTTTGTGTTTCTTTGTGGATGCTTTGCAGCTCTAAAGGTAGTTTGCATCTGTTTTTGGTTGTTTTATGTTGCTTTATGGTCATTCATGTAACACTGGTGAACCAGGTGAGAGTGGACTCAAATGCACCACTCTGGAAACAGTTTGGGGAAAATAACACAGTCTTTACTGGTCAAAATGTAGGTTCGGTAAACAGAAGGACAATTAGTGGAGGCAAACAAATCCAATAGGGATGGAGCAGAGACAGACTCAGTTAACAGGCTAAATGAAAAGAACACAGGGAAACAAAAGGCTGGAACGCTAGACACACAAGGAGCTATGACAAACTGGCACTGCAGGATAATGAGACACAGGTGAGGCTAATCAGGGCGGGACAGACAGACAGACAATCAGACACAGGTGAAGTCATCAAAAGGGAGGGAAAACACACCGGGGCAGGAAGTGATCTGAAACGAGAGGAGATGTGGGTTTCAAAGTAAAACGGGAAACAACATACTGAATGACATAAAAATCATAACCTAAGACACTTGAGCTGTGACACATTTGTACAATAGGTGGTTCCTTTCATTGGAGCAAGACACCCCACTATACAACAGGTACATTGTTTGAAGTAGTTTTCTGCCTTTTTGGTGTTATTTTGCAGCCCTTTGTGGTAGTTTTGTGTGTCATTTGGCTCATTTGGCTTCTTATTTTGGCAATTTTGCATGTTCGAGGTATGTTCTGTCTCTTTGCAGTGAATTTGTTTCTTTGTAGTGTTTTAAAGTAATTTTGCATATTTTTGTAGTGATGTTGCATCTCTTTTACGGCTTATTGTATTTTTTTTTCTTTGCAGTAGTGTCATTCTAAATGCCATAGCAATATACTATACAGAACATGGTTCCCCAGGGCCCTCCGACCCCTTATGTTGGAGCCACAATAACATTCTTAGTATTTGTTTTGATTCCTGTTTAACTAATGGTGACTACATGAAAATAGATGCGGTTTGTTGAAAAGGAAAATGCAGGTAATTTATGTAAGGTGCAGATGATGAGTGGCAGGTGTGCAATGGTGGAAGCAAACAATTTTTTTTTTAACGTGTTTAATGTGGCAGCATGAAGAGTTTGTAGAGTGTCAAAACTGAAATTGATAAATGGACACTTATCTGTGATGGACTCTAAAACTGTTATGTGGAAACTTACCTGAGATGAATTATGGACATACAATGTTTTTTGTATTCAAATAAATGAGTTACCACACTCGAAGAAACCTGACAAATTGGACATTGTCTAATTGTTGTTGCCCAGAGCACATGTCTGAACAATTTCTCCCCATTTGCGACTCAGAGTCCTTAAATGCAACGTTTTTTATTGAAAGACTCTACACCTTGGGTCCCTGGGCAAAAGGCGTAATGAATAATGTCTCCCTTTCTGTTTCAGCTCAGCAAAGAGTCCTGCAGAGATCAAAGCATGTGTTGGAGTTAGCAGGAGGTCCTCTGGTGCTGACTGTGCGAGGCAGCCCAGGATCTGCCACCTGCTCTCCCATCACTACCTCAACTACAAACAAGACAGTTAGCCCAAAACTGGACATCACTCCATCACAGGTCAGTGTGGAAAGTCCTACAAAATAGTGTCACAGAGTAAATGTTGCACACTACACTACACCGGATAAAGATGGATGTCAAATCATTTTCTTCATATTTTTATGCCTTAAAGAGTGTTATGAATTGAACAGCATAACCCTGTAATGAAAATCTAACTTGATGTATTGTAAATCTTTCCAACAGCAGAAACAGCAGTCCATTGTTTCTTCTTCAAGCCTGCCAACAAGTGGTGAAGAGTACGAACTACAACTTAATGCTTACCTCCTTCGTTACCTAAAGGAATGTCCAAAGGCTAGGAGAAAACTAGAAGAAGAACTCGCCTCTGTTTCCTGCTCTGCTCAGCTTTACCCAGAGGAGGAGAAGGTTTTAGTTAGCCGTTTAGCTCAACCTGGTGCTGCAGATGATGTTAGCAACTGGAAAGCAGAGGTAGACAAACTCTTTGATGGCTACCTGTGCCACTATGAGTTAGACACTCACAAGGTCAAAGCTTTGCTTCAGTCCTGCAGCTCTCCTCAGACCACAGATAAAGTAAAGGTGTACAGCGAGGTTGGGATGGCTGTTGTTGTTGGGGAACGTTCCCAGGTGAATGCGAGATTGGTGGAAGTAGGGGGCATGCGTGTCAAACGAGGGTCAAGTTTGAGTGAGAAGCAAACCAGTGTTCGTCGACTGGGCGAGGCCAAGCTCCGTCTCCTCTGGAAAGAGATTGAGCACAGTTTGGGACAGGATTTTCCAGGAGTGAAGGTCACGCAGGGAGCTGCAGGTCAGTTAGTTTTGGAAGGTTCTGTAGAGGAGATTCTTAAGGCTGGTGAATGGATCTCTGATCAGGAGAGTTTGGTGTTAGAAAGGACAGTTCCTGACATGAGCCCACATTTTTTGGCCTTCTTGAGAAAGGCATACGGAGGACCAGGGGTGCTAGGTGACTTTTTAGGGGTTGGTGACAAGGTGGAAATAGAATTACGAGACACGGAGCTGCGGTTCTTCTCCCTCTCTGCTGATAAACTGGATGACACAGAAAAAAAACTGCATGAAATATTCAACGAAGTCAAGATTGACATTCCTAACTGCTCTGTTGTGCCATCTGAGCTTCGGGAAAAGCTTAAGTCCAAGACAAAAGAGATAAACCAAGGCCAATACAGGGCTCAGGTCGTGTTTGGCTCAGACAGCACAGTGTGCTTACTGGGCCACACCAAAGAGGTTGAAGAGCTGAGTGAAGTTGTCATACAGTTTATCTTGGACGAGTCAAGCATAGAGGGCAAAGTCATTCTACCTTACCCAGAGTTAGTACAACTCTTACCAGAATTGCTGCAGCTGCATACGTTTGACTATTCAGGGATTACCTGCCACCCTTTAACATCTTCCTCTGGGCCCATGGTGGTGCTGGAGGGTCCATCCAGCAAAGTGACTGAGGTCAGGAATAGGCTTGGTCCATTGCTGAACTCCCTTGCTCAGGACAAAGTCACCATTGACCTGCCAGGGGCAGTGAGGTATTTTGAAAGTCCTTCTGGAAAAGAGAACATTTTAAGTGTTGCTCATTCTCAGAAGTGTCTGGTACAGCTTCAGGAACAACCTTATGCTACTAGACAAATTTTGGCATCTGGCGCACAGTTAATAAAAGGAGGCACAACGGTTGCTAGCTACAGCCTTCGTGATGGGTTCCAGGTGCTGGTGTGTCATGGTGACATCACCAAACTGGAGGCTGATGCTCTTGTGAACGCTGCTAATGAAGATTTGGACCATGGTGGAGGTGTTGCTGCTGCACTGAGTAAAGCAGGTGGCCCTCAGGTGCAGAGGGAGAGCAGAGCTATAATAAAGCAGACTGGAAAGATTCCTACAGGCGATGTGGTAGTGACCACGGGGGGGAACCTTAACTGCAAGAAACTGCTGCATGCTGTTGGGCCTATAGGTGGAAAATCAGGTGGCAAAGAAAGGATGTTGTTGGAGAAGACTGTCCAGTCTGCTCTGAATTTAGCAGAGATGATGGAGTTCAGGTCCATAGCCATGCCTTGTATCAGCTCAGGTGTGTTTGGTGTCCCTGTCATTGTGTGCTCTGAGGCTATTGTAACTGCTGTTAAGAAGTTTGGCAGTCAGGGAGAGAGAAGTCTAAGAAAAATCATCCTGATTGATAACAGGCAGGACGTGGTGAGGGCCATGCAGGAGGCATGTGACCGGTTTCTTCAAGGCATGAGTACTGGAAACAGTGCACCAAGCAATCTGGGTTCCCAGATGGGTGCTGCTGCTCAAGACACATCAAGAGGAGCAACTGCTGGAGCTCCTGAGTATGGTGTCCATGTAGCGATCATTCAGGGAACCATCGAGACCCAGCAGGTGAGAAACTTTGCCACAATGTTGCATTAATGTAAATGTTGCTACTTGAATCAGGATGTTTGACAAGCTAGTCTGCTGTAGTTACTGGGTACCAGTGTCTGTTTGCATACAGAGCTAATGCTACAGAATTAACTTTCAGGATAAACATGGTGGTCAGTGTCCCTTGATTATTAAAGTGGATTTTTGTATTCTCCTAGGTGGATAGCCTGGTATCCCCTATGGTTGGCCATGATCCTCTCTCGACTCGTGTTGGAAATTATTTGGCCAACATGGTTGGACCTCAGATGACTGCAAAGTTTCATAAGGAAGCAGGAGGAGCAACCCTGCCTGGTGACACAGTCCTGGTGAAGGGCTTACCTGTACTTCAATCTAAAGGAGTGTTCTTCCTCAACCTCCTCCCCTGGGATAATAACCAACATGGAACTGCAGTCCAGGTGAAATCATGTATTTAGTGAATAAGTCTCTGCGGGTTTTGTTGTTCCTGCTCGCTTAAGGTGTGTCGTAACCTTGGTAATCCTTGTATCTTCCAGGTTCTGAGACAGGGCATCAGAAAAATTCTGACTTCCTGTCAGATCATAGGCTATAGTTCAGTTGCTCTCCCTGTGCTTGGGACCGGCGCAGCCCTGCGTTTTCCTCACAGCGTGGCATCCAGGGTTGCACTGGAGGAGGTCCAAGAATTTGAAAAGAGCCGAGTTCACACAACATCTTTCCTGGTCCGTATTGTCATCCACCCCAATGACAAAGAATCTAGCAAGGTAAAGAAAATGCAGTAGTGGTGCTCTGTGACAAAAACAGGAATACCATAGTTTGTTGTTATGTATGTGAAACTGGAAATAAACCCTCCACTTTGTCACCACAGGCCTTCCAGTCTGTCCAGGAAAGTTTGCATCTCAGAGGATTCACTAACGATGCTAACCCAGACCAAGGTTCATGTGAATATTTTCTATTAAATAGGTGGAACAAGACTTTGATAAATAACTTGTTTCCTCAATCTTTAAGGCTGCAATGATAATTGTAAGGCCACACGGGTGGGGGCAGAAAACATTAATGAGGCTCCCAAACACAACCAGCACCATATTACCAGTTTTAAAGTTATTGTTAATATGCTAGCAAACTATTTTCTACTCACATATAGAGCTGATACGGAACAGCATTGCATTCATTTCGAGTATTTTTTCAGTCTCCTTTTCAACTCTGTTTTGGTTTTCACCAGACCGTAGAGAAGTACCTGCATCTTTACTTGTTAGATGCTCAGCTGTCTTCCTCAGCTATTTGTTAATCTGTCTGCTGGGTTGGTAGTGTACAGAGGTTGTTTGCTAAAAAAAGATTTTAGTTTTCTTTTATTGTACATTATGAGCAACCATAGAGCCATGTGATTCAATGTACATATTAATGCAGATTTAATTGAAAATATTAAACCATTATTGTACTTTCTTTTTTATTGGAATGATTTTAGCTTCCTTTTACCGCCATGTCTCCCTAACAAATGATGAGGTCACAGCCATGCTGGGTGAAGTCAAGCTTCAGATGGTCCGTGGTGACATCGTTCATGAGACCACTGACGCCATCATCAACACAACTGACTTCAGCAGCAACCAATCTGGTAGGGTGGATTTTCTAAATGTTTTGTTTGACTTTGAATATGCGTGTAGAGGAAGACAGCACCTCACACTGGTGTTCATTTTGAGAGATTTGCGTCCAGTATGTTCTCTAAGGTTAGATCCGACAGTAACTGTATGTTCACAAACTCCACAGGTGTGTCCAAAGCCATCTTGACTGCAGCGGGGCCCACTGTCCAAGCAGATCTAGCACGAGGTAAGCCTGAAAAATGCCGTAGAAATACTTCAGAAGAGGTTTTGGGGGTGTGCACATTATTAATCAACAGATAAACTTTGACTCCATCCATGTTTTTATGCATATTTTTAATTTGTGCCTAAAAAAACAAGTGAAAGCACCAGGAGTGAGATGGTATATCTTTCGAGTGTGGATGCTGGAATGACCCATTTCACATATTGTACCACTTCCTCTATCCACTATGGGGCGCTGGAGGACACACTTATGATATGTTATGTTTTTGTACATCAGATATAGACCACAGCATGTAATTTCAGGTAAATCAAAAGATAAGTGTCTGAAAAGACGTACTTCTTGTCGCCACTAGGTGTCGCTATGACTATCACGGAATATTGTCATATAGATGTGTTCAGGGTGGGCCTATAATGAATCGTGAAGTTTGGTGCAGATCGGACCATTTACGCGAAAGTTATAGGAATTTAGTGTTTCACAGCGAGACATCAAAATTCAGCGCTCTGCAGCAGGTATGCCCTTCAGTGAGAGATAGATCTTGTAATAACCTTTGACCACAAAGTAGTCAAGCTTGCACAAACCAATTTTGAAGCCAGTCCAATGAAATTTGTTGGAGGAGTTTGTTAAAATACAACACATGGGCAATGCCAAAAATCACCATGGAATTCAAAATGGCCGACCTCCTGTAGGGTTTAGGCAATAGGCCCGTTTCCACCGCAGGAACTTTGGGGTAATTTTACGGGGCCGGGGTCGATGGTGTGTGTCTCCACCGCAGGAACCACCCCCGAAGGACAGAGTTCCGGAACTTTTACAGGGGCTAAACAAGTCCCTGCCTCGGAGTAGGTACTCAGAACAGCCCTGAGAAACTCCTGGCTGGGGCTTGGGGATTACTTGGTGCTGATTGGATATACTCAAGGCGGGATGTGATGTTTTGTAATTAATAACATGGTTATCGTAGATTAGCTGGGCTAACCGTTAGCTGTTAGCGGTGTCTGTAATAACTCCAGTCACGGTCCGTGAAAAAAATATTTTTTCCAGTGGATATCTTAGTTGCAACATGATTGAGCTAGCAAAGCAGTTTTGTGTTGCTATGTGTGGTATTTATTCAGTTATGGGAAATCACAATGTCTAGAAAGCATCAGCTGACAGGGACAGCTAACAGCAGCAGCAAAGCTAACATCAGGACGTCATCTGTTAAATGCCTCCCGTTGTCGGATACGACATGAAACTACTCCAGTTAGCTCAATCATGTTGTAACTAAGATATCCGCTGGAAAAAAAAAAATTCACGGACCGTGACCAGAGTTATTACAGACACCGCTAACGGCGTCCCTACGCCCCTACGTTGCCCCGGTCAAAATGGTCGCGCAACGATTACACCACATCCAGAGGCCGGTAACTTTACAGGAACCTTCCTCCTACTCCACTCTCTCAGTGGAGACACAGCGGTTGAGAAGGCTGAGCGAGAGGACGTTCCTGTAGTAGTTCCTGCCCCCAAATAGTACCAAGAACTTCTTCAGTGGAAACGGGCCTAATGGGTCCCAAGGGGCTTTTTTTTGTGCATCTGGGCATAATACAAGCATGATACCTAGTTAAGTGCATTATTTTGGCAACATTCTCACCATCCAACATATTATACACAAATCCAACATGATGCTTTTCATGTTTTTTTTATGTCGTATTTGCTTTTTAAGTTTTTGTTGTTGTTTTTTTTTGCCAGTGGGCCTTCCAGCAGACCTCATGTGCACCACAGGACCGGGGCAGCTTGGCTGCAGGGAAATCATTCATGCTAGTTTTAAGAGTGACCCTCAGATTATCCGGAACAATTGCAAAAAGATACTGAAGCAGTGTGAAAGCAAAGGCTACCACTCAGCAGCCTTCCCAGCCATCAACACTGGTTTGTACTGTGAGCGTGTGTGTGTGTGTATGTGTTTACTTGTGCATTATGGTCAACACCAAATTTGTCATTTAACAAAATTAAGGTCACAAAAAGACAGCAGTGTAAATGGCATCATTGGTGGCTTCTCCATGTGGATTCACAGTCATTGTCTCTATATCCCACCAGGTATCGGTGGCATGGACTCTGTCAAAGCTTGTAAAGCGATGCTGGATGGCATGACTTCAGCAATCATGGACTTGAAACCAAATTCGCTCAAGCTCATCCGCATTGTCATCATCCAGCAACCTATCTTCCAGGCTTTCAGGTCAGATATAAATCTCGGAAAGCTAGCATTTTAGCATGGGTTGCATATTTTAACCAGTCAGAAAAGCTTGTTTTAAAGCTCTTGTCCTGTAATATGCTTTTGCAGATCAGAGCTCGAGAACCGCTTTGGACAACCTGCCACTCGCCACCTCAGCCTCAGAGGTTTGTGTCCATTTGTGCCCAACTATTATTAAGTAATATTCACCAGGTTCATCATCTTAGTTCAGCCTGTTAGCAAGCTAACGTTTGCTAATCAGCATTAAACACAAAATACAGCTGAGGCTGATGGGAATATCATTAGTTTGCTCACAAACCAAAGTGATGTGATGAATTACAAAGGAATTATGACTTAAAGAATAGCACTATCTTAAATATTGGGATTACCAAAAATAGTAGAAATTATGGGACCTTGAATATCTGATGCAACTCCCATGCCAATCCATCTAATAGTTTTCTAGATCACATAAAGGGATGTTAACTTCTTGTGACTAAACAAAGATATAATTGTACATTTTTTCTATTTTAGTTTCTTTCTGAATTGAAAAGGGCATGTGTTCTGGTAAATAAATATTCAAATTAAGAAGTCTGCAACAAGAAAATGCCAAATAATTGTCCATAATAATGACATTTAACAAAGGATTAAAGGGGCAGTGTGTAAGTATTAGAGCGATATAGTGACATCTAGTGACAAGGATTGCAGATTGCAACCAGGTATAACTTTTCTTGGTTAGAATGCCTCTAGGGTTAATTGTTCAGGAGGTTTGTACCAGGAGGCCAGTTATCCGCAGAGGGCTTTTTCTCCCCAAAACAAACAGAGCAGAGGCCTGTACAACAAAGCAGGACTTTTTACCTGACAACATTTTTCATGATAAGATTACAGAGTGTCATGTACATCCTGTGTCATTAACATTTCACTGTCTTGCAGTCGCAGATACTGATTGATGATCATTCTTTAGTATTACAGAAAATAATTTTAAAATTATTAGTAGCCATGCAGAGCATGTTTTTCATGCACAAGACAAAAAAAAATCATTTCAATATTGTAACATATTGATATGTATTGGTATATTTGACCTCAAGTCATTGATGTAATGAGGTGTCACATCCATATTTGTTCTGTTTTTAGACAAAGCTAAACAAAAACTCAAGAAGTGGCACGACAAGCATTCAAAAACTTCCACAGCTTCAGCACCTCAAGGCAAAACCCTCATCTCCTCGAAGCCACCACCAGCTGTGATTAATCTGATAGGTTGTGGTTCAGATAGCATCAGGACCTTCAAGAGAGACTTGGAGGGGATCCTGCAGAAGCAGCTGGTAGAGAGAGAGCTGGATGTGTGTGATTTTTCCAGGCTTGATGCCATGGAGCTGGAGGCAGTGCAGGCAAAAGTCAAAGTCTTAGGAGTTAGCCTGGAGCACAGGAGACGTCAAAGTTCTGAGGGTGTGAGTGGCAGCAGAGCAGGAAACACAGCTAGAGCTGAAGCTAGAGATTGGTCGGGGTCAGGAAGAGACGTCTATGTGCTGAGAGGCCTGAAAGAGGACGTGTTGAGCGTCATTGAGCTTGTAAACAAAGCAGTTCAGAAAGCACTCTGCGAAGACCTCCAAGATAAAGAAGAAGCAATGTTGGCTCTCAGTGTCCAGTGGTCGATTCAGGATGTGAATAAAGCCTGGCACGAGCTGAGCCTTCATGACAACTACATCCTGGAAGAGGCTTACCAGAAGAAAGCAGTGTCCGTAGAGATGATGGCACCAGATGGCATGATGGTGACGGTAAACCTGAGGGCACAAGAAGCCACGAACCAGCTATCAGGCATCACGTACAAAGTGAAGAGGAGCGAGTCTGAATCAAGTACGTCACATTTTGTACTTTTACTAAATATTTAGTAACATATGTTTAAACCATCATCTTTCTATGCCTCTGCGCCAGCAATAGCCATGACCAGAGACATCATGTATCTGGGTTGTCCGTCTGTCCATTCCTCCCATTCTCATAAACAAAATATCACAAAAATGTCTTAGGGAGTTTCTTGAAATTTGGAACAAACGTCAACTTGGACTCAGCGATGATCTGATTGGATTCATAGGTTGAAGGTCAAAGTCAGTGAAACCTCATCTGTCTCATTCTTGTGAATGCAATATCTTAAGAAAACCTTAAGGGATTTTTCTTCTAATTTGGCACAAATGTCCACTTTATGTCAAGGATATCTAAAATTTGGTGGTCAATAGTCAAAGTCACTGTGACCATCTGAACATTCTGGTGAATGTGATATCTCAAAAACACTTAAACAGAATTTCTTCACATTTTGGATACAAACGTCCACTTGGACTCAACAATGAACTGATCAGATTTTGGTGGTCAAAGGTCAAGGTCACTTTGTTCTTGTATCTGTCTCATTGTCGTGAACACAATATCTAAAAGACACCTGAAGGGAATTGCTTTAAAGTTGACACAAACATCCACTTTGAGTCAAGGATTATCTAAAATTTGGTGGTCAGAGGTCAAGGTTACCATGACCCACTGCATTCCATTGCATTCTGATGAGTGCAATGTCTCAAGAAAACTTTGACAGATTTTCTATATTTTTGGATACAACTGTCCACTTGGATTCAACAATGAACTGATTAGATTTTGGTGGCCAAAAGTCAAGGTCACTGTGACCTTGTATCCGTCAATTGTCAGGAACACAATATTTAAAAGACACCAGAAGGGAATGTCTTCAAATTTGGCACAAACATCCACTTTGATTCAAGGATGATTGGATTAGAATTTGGTCATCAAAGGTCAAGGTCACTGTGACCATGCATCCATCTCATTATTGTAAAGACTATATTTCAAAAACACTTAAAGGGAATTTCTTCAAATTTGGCACAAATGTCCACTTTGAGTCAAGGATGATTGGATTAGAATTTGATGGTCAAAGGTCAAGATAACTGTGACCCCGCTCATTGCATTATGGTAAATGTGATATCTCAAGAACACTTAAAGAGATTTTCTTCAAATTTTAGATACAACCGTCCACTTGGACTCAACAATGAAATGATTAGAATTTGGTGGTCGAAGGTCAAAAGTCAAGGTCACTGTGATCTCACAAAACATGTCTTTGGCAATATCTCAAGAATTCATATGCTATTTATGACAAAGTTTCAGACAATTACTTTTATATCCAAAAGGTCAAAGATCACTGTCACTGTGCCAGCATAATATTCTGCAAAAACACTATTCTCAGGACACTCAGGAACAAAAGGGGGGATATTTTGTCAGATACTGAATTAGTGACACTAATATCAGGCGCCCTTGAAACTGTGCTGATGTATAGACCTTCTGTGCTGCTGGGGAGAGGATGTGTTTGAAGGATCCATGTTTTCACAGACATGGATATAAAGTGCAAGTTGCAACTTGACTGGTTCGCGGAGACATACAACTATGAGGTGGTAATTGTAGTTTGAATCTGTTAAAAACACTCAAACAATAACATTGATTTGCGTGACTTCTACTTTAGCCCTGGAGTTGCCAACACAATGGGAACCAATGCACGGAGAAGTCTTTAAAAAGGTAGAGCTGCAACCTAACTCACCCGAGTACCAGGCCGTAGCCCAGGGTTTTCTCAAAACAGCTAAATACAACATTCAGAAAGTGAGTACACGTTTCTCATAGCAGCATTAAAAAACATAAAGTACAGAAGTAGTAACTGTGATTTGTGAATAATGGATTGTTTTCTGATGACAGATTGAGCGTGTGCAAAACGTCTACCTGTGGCATGCCTATACTGTGTGTAGGCAGCGTATATATGCCAAGAATGGTCCAGCAGAACTTGGGGAGAAGTCTCTCTACCATGGCACATCAGCAGAGGCATGCAGCTGCATTGAAAAGGACAGATTTGACAGGAGCTACGCAGGAGCACATGGTAAGGAATGTTTTCACATGCTAAGCTAAGCTAACTGACTTCTGGCAGTAGCTTCATGAGAGTGGCGTCTGTCTTCTCGTCTACCTTTTGGCAACAAAGGGAATAAAGTGTTGAACTACTCCTTTACATTCTGTCTTTGCTTATGTAATTTTGTTACAGCTGCTGCGTATGGAAAGGGAGTTTACTTTGCAGTCAATGCAGAGTATTCAGCAAGAGGGTTTTCACCAGCAGACGCGTCAGGCCTGAAGCGGCTGTATGTGGCTCGTGTCCTGACCGGCCGTTACACAGTCGGTAAATCTTCCATGAAAGCCACCCCACGCCGAGGCTCAGACCCCACTGACTGCTTCGACAGTTTGGTAAACAACCAGCAACAGCCCACCATATTTGTGATCTTCCACGATGACCAGGCCTACCCAGAATACCTTATCACCTTTAAATAAGTAAAACTGGGAAAAAACTCATGGTTCAACACTGTATCATGGCAACACAGTCACCAGAAAAAAATGTTGTATGTTTCTGCAAACTGCAGGTGTGTTGCATTTGTACATTATGATGAAGTAGATATGTTGTAACCAAGCAGCAGCCTCTGGGCCTGAAAATAAATCCAACAGGGGGAGTGCCAAAAACTGCAGTTCTCTGACTTGACTCTTTTGACTCGGCTCCAGAAGCCAGTCAATCCCCATAGACCCCGATGTTAAAATGCCCAGCAGACATAAACATGTTTACAGCCTGGTACAAAGAACTGTTTTGTTCCCTATAGCCAATATGTCCCTTCGTGGCAACTGTACAGCGGGTGAATTTGTATATAACCTACTTGTTAAGTTTTTATCAGGCTTAAAGTTGCGCATGATTAAAGACAGGCCACTTTAGCCTTTCACCAAACACTTTCAGTATGGTACCTTTGGAACTGAGAGTAACCCTTCAGACATGGTACTTAGACCCTAGTGTTCCCACTGTAAACAGTACCCTTAAATGTGGGCAGTCTGATCCTCGTTTATCGTCCTCAGAACATTTTCAGAACAAAATAAAACAGGCTGCAGTGAGAGTCTCTCTCCATGGCATATCTAAAAATAGTGGGTTTGTGCAATATATCCTTCTCAGGCAAGCTCAGGGGTTTAGTGTTGCCGAAGCCCACAGGAACAACGCTCCACGATGCTTTTTTTCTCTCCGAGTAAGGATTACAGTAAATGCAGTTCACATCTTCTGGTCAAAATTAAGATATATATAAACACTTCACAATCCAGTCATTACTAAAAGTGTATGTCATATAAAAACTAAAGTAATGGTCAAAGGTGTCACATTGAAATTTAAGGTGTGTTGATGGATTCACGTTGTCAAATCGTGCTTTGAGTAACATTACAAGTGAATGTTCCACCTTAAAATTGGCCAAGTGAATCTTTTTTCTCTGACTCCAGCTGCTGCTAGAGGCAGCAAAACATCCTTTATTTTATAGTTACAGTTCACTAATATATGTAAAGCGCTCAACGGTGTGAACAGAGGTTACATTAGCCTCAAAACCAGCCACTAGTGATGGCTGAATGAGGCCTCATGAAGCACTATCTTTATTTTCTGAAGCCACCAGATGGCGCTGTTTGTTCAACAACGGTTTGAAAGCACACTTTATTGCAAGTCCCTCAGCCTTTATCTTTAAACCAAGAGCGCCATGTGGTGGGATCAGAAAATAAAGACAGTGGTTCATGAGGCTTCATTTGGCCATCACTACCAGCCACCACTCAGCCCTGAGCAGAGTGACTGTCTGCTATTGACCAATCAACAGACTGCAGTGTTCACGGCTCCACCTTTTAGTACCAGATCTGTGTGCTAGGTACCCCAACAGAGGGGGGACCAAACATGGGGATATACGGAACAGTTCCATTGGTACCATCCACAACTTTTCACAGTGGAAACAGAAAAAATGTGTACTGAACTGAACTGAACCGTACTGCTCGGTGGAAACGGGAGTGACAGGCTGTCTGCCAGTAGTGTCCTCAGCTTCTCAGTCAGATCCACCCCTCGATCCTCTGCAGGACCCGCCTCTCTCCCAGATATAGTCTCTTCTGGCTCCAAAAAAACAAGATGGTGATGGCTATAATGCCAAACCAAGGCTTCAAAATGGAGTCCACAAGCCAATGGGGGATGTCACGGTAGCTAGTTTCTTTACGTTTCAACAACACTTTGGTTAACATGTGGTTAGGTTCAGGCACAAAAACCACTTGGTTATGTTGAGGAATGTTTTGGCTTAAAATACCCGGTTTTAGTGGCACAATCCCTGTTGGAAACACAGCGATGTCTTGATAAAAAAGCAACCCCTTTCATGGAACTATCCCCAGTTCAAATCAGCTCATACACTACTACACATTAGAAACATTGATATTATATGTATAAAGTGCTCAAATGTAATGTATTCGTGGTTTGCAGAGACGCACAATGCCAACATTTTCATCTGGCAACCAGGCTGACAATGGTGTCACAGTGATCCTGGTTAAATAGTACAAAAATAGTGATACCTTAGAACATGTGACTTTTACTTTCAGTTAATGTTAGGTTGTTTTCCCGAGCTAACTGTGAGCAGTATTCATCTCTCAGCAGCACAGAAGAAGCACTTCTACACCAAAAACACATTGGCAAGATGTCACCTTTGCTGACCAGGCATGTAATTGACAGACTCGAACGAGGCATGTGTAGTGAATTATAACCACTGTACTGAACAGCCTTGTATTGAAGGACAAAGCTGTTACATTCCTTGAAATGAAACTTGGAAATTATTATTTTCCAGCTTACATAAATCTTATGATATAAAAGCAGAAATTATATTTCATAGCCTCCAAATGTGTAATACAGTATAATGTTGTGTTTAACAGTGATGGCCAAATGAGGCCTCATGAACCACTGTCTTTATTTTCTGAAGCCACCAGATGGAGCTGTCTGTTCAACAAAGGCTTGAAAGCACACTTCATTGAAAGTCCTTCAGCCTTTATCTTTAAACCAAGAGGTGGGGTCAGAAAATAAAGAAAGTGGTTCATGAGGCTTCATTTGGCCATCACTAGTGTTTAAGTAATGTATCTCCTATTTAGCAGTGTGCAAGTTGAGGGTTATTGTATTGTCATTTTTTTTATCTTGTTGATTAATACAGTATTTAAGAAGCATTTATTTTTGGTAAATAAAAATGTATATTTTAACAGATGTTTCTAAAGGAGAGCAGGAGTGAAACCATCTGAGCCTGGGTAACTGATTTAACTAAAGTGGTGACACTTTATTTGGGAAGTGCATTTTTGATACTAGACTTCCCTTGGTGAACATATTGCTAAAAAAATCAACTTTGAGTGAGTTTCAAGTAAAAAGTAAAGAATTTCTTTGACTGTACGATGAAGTAACAGATGAATCCAAATTAAAGATATTTTGGACATTATTAAAGTAGCAAGTTTTTTTTATTTGAATGGTGCAAGAGAGTACTGGAGCAAAAGAAGGAGTGTCTGCATTTTTGTAACAGTGCCATTAAATTGCATATTTATGACAAGTGTGTTGAAGAACTTTATTTGTACGGAGCATCTTCCATGACAACACAATACAGTGTTGCACATGGTCAGTGTCTGGAGGGTTTTATAATTACTTCCACTCCTCATGAGTTGGTTTGGGATGGCAGGTACGTTCTCTCTCCTTTGGTGGGTGTGTCAGAGGTGTTACCTACTCAGCAGCAATATACTGTATATAAATATGCAGAGTAGGTCTTTACTTATTGTTCTTACTTTTTTTTGTTTGTATTGGGTCATTTCATGGGATTGGTGCCTTTTGCATCCCCAAGAAATAATAAGTTATAAAATTACAATATCAACAATTATGCAATTTAATGATATTACCATGTTTTCTGTCCTTAATATGACATCAAATTAAAGTCGCTTAAATATTATTTGAAATAAATAAAATTACTTTTGTGCTGGTGGGGGTGAGGTTGATCACCATGCAAAATTAGGGTGCACTTGATGATCTGAATGAAAATTATCAAATTGGGAAAAAAAAGTCCACATCTTAAAATAATCTCAGTGACAACAGGGACTAAAGTACTGCTCATATATGTGCCATTTCTTTTTGTTTTCTGTTTTGGATCTTTGTTGTTTTTAACCTCTGTGAGGTACTTTGTGTTACTGTCGTATGAAAAGTGCCATATAAATAAAGTTGATTTGATTTGATTTGATCTATTGCATGTGTCTAATCAGGAATATTGGATATAGTCATACTTAGTTTTGTCAAGCCTGTTACTGACCTATCAAAATGTAAGAGAGAAAAACAGTCAAAAAAATATGAAATTCCACAGCCTGAGATGGCACAATACATTTCTTGTAACTTAAATCTGTTTTTAGTCCCTGGCTACTTTCAAAGTTGAAAAGGCACCGATTTTCATGAAATGACGCCATTCACACCTGCCACATAAGCTTTAGTTTTAGTTAAAGAAACAGAGAGGACCACTCTGTCTTTTAACAGTTTATTCAAGCTCAGAGAACTCAATTATCTGTTTACACAAAACTCCAAAAATGTGATTATTAAAAACAAAGATTTTACATAATAAAACCAACTAGATCAAAACTAGTGACGGCCAAATGAAGCCTCATGGACCACTTTCTTTAGTTTCTGACCCCACCATATGGCACTCTTGGTTTAAAGATAAAGCACTTGCAATAAATTGTGCTTTCAAACCTTTGTTAAACAGACAGCGCCATCTGGTGGCTTCAGAAAATAAAGACAGTGGTTCATGAGGCCTCATTTGGCCATCACTGCTCAAAACCTAAATAAAGATAGTAAAATGTTCCATATTTGAATACATGGGAGAAAAATCAAACCAGTACACTGTAGACTGGTGTATTCATTCCAGTTCCTACCATAAAAATGTCGACCATACACACTGTGAATTATACAGAAAACTAAATACAACCTCAAAAGATGAATTAAAGATAGAGAAATAAAATATAACAACAACAAGCTCAGAAAATGACAAATATTGATAACTCAGGTGTTGTTAAATCAGAATAAAGAGACAGAAAAACCCATCACAGGGTCACATCCTCAGTAATCTGATGCTGCTTTGAAACTGACTTCAATGTAGCTACTTTCTCTCTATTTAAATCTGCTGTTAAAAAGTCTGCTGGTGATTTCACATCTCTCCCCCTCAGGTTGGGATTACTACATGTCCCAGAATGCCGTTCAACAAACACATGTTATAGTGTAAATGTTTCCAAAAGTAACACAGCACTGCAAACAAAGTGAGTAAATGAATCAAAGGCCTGCTAACAGTGAGTATAGAGGGTTTAGCACGTAGAACAGATGAAATTAAACTTCTCATTGTCATTCTTTTTGAACCACTTATGTTCTCCTCCTCTGTCCATGGCTCCAGACATGTCACAGTCATCCGCTGGTACACCTGTGACCCAGTTCTTATAGGTGACCATCTCTTCATTGACCCAGAACCAGAAACCCAGAGTGCAGGTGTAGCGCAGTCCCAGCCAGACGTAGGGACTGTTGGCCTTCTTGGCTTTCTCTTGGACCCATCGCTGCTCGTCAGGGTTGCTTAGTTCCCTCTGCAGTGATATAAGGCGTCCTCTGAGGTCTCGCTCTCATCGGTCGGGATCACTTTATCTGTCATGGAAGAAATGGAGACAAACACAGGCCAGTGTAAATAACAGCTGTAACATTACTTTATATAAATATATTTTATCACATGTGTTATGTTATCTTTAAAATATTCACCGCCGTAGCAGAAGAAGGGTTTTTTCTCATCACAGTGTTCATCCCTCCATCTGCCTCCATCATTCAGCATGGTCACAGCACATCTCTCACTGCCTGAGTCATCGTTAAACTGTGGACCCCTGTATCTGAAAGAGAAACTGCTCCCATCTGACCACCTCCAGGAGTCTCTGAACAGGCCGATCCACACGTACTTGTTTGACTTATACTCTCTCTTGAATTCGTTGTCCTCTAACTGTTGGTCTCCACTGACCAGGTCAGTGTGATGTTCTCTGCAGTAGCTCTGAGCCTGTGGCCAGCTCATTTTGTCTTCAATCAGATGGAATGTCTTGTTGGATTGCTTCCTTTCTGTGGGATAAACAGACAAACTAAGAAACACACACTGTTTACAAGTTATTTCATCTCATAAAAATCCTTTTTTCTTATTTAAACAGGTGAAACAATAACGTGAGATAAATTCAAATGAATCCACTGCAGGTTCACATGTTTACAAGATCAAAGTGTGTGTGATATAATAAGGTGGATCACATCATTAAAAGTAGGACTGGATTAGAATTCATTTCTGCATGTAGAGAAAGAGACATTTTATCACCACACTTACCAGTAATGTTACTTAAAAGTAAATAAATAAATAGAAAATAACACCAGTTGACTTTTGACTTTTAAATATATAATTTTTTAACCTTATCAGCCAAGTTTCTACTTAATCCCACACAAAAAGAGGAGGTATATGTCAACGAAAACTATTGTTAGACAGGATGATCTGCTGTATACACATAATAACATTATTAGTTACATATTCTCACCATCATAGCAGATACATTTATGATAACTACAACAACGGACATCCTTCCATTTGTGATTGTCCATCAGCACACATTTCTCATTTGTAGAACGGTAATTATTCGGCTGTCCTTTATGCCATCTACTCTCCCTATACCTGGACTCCAGCCCTGGCAGAGACCACTGCCAGTGCCACATCCCTCTCTCATTTCTTTCAGGGTCGCTGTAAAGCCCAATCCAGGCTCCATCTTGATTCTGTGCAGAGTCACGGAGTCTCTCCATGTCTGTCATGTTAGACACTGTGGCCAGGTCAGTGTGATGCTCTCTGCAGTACTGCTGGGCTTCAGTCCAGTTCTTCTCCTCTTCAACAAAGTGGTACTCATGGAGGTGACACATGAAGAAGGAACACTGACCTAATAACAGAGGAAATACTGCAGTGATGGAGCAGACAGCATTAAATCAACATCATGAGTACACACCTACTACTTACTCCACGCCTCTTTATTCACTTAGATTTCTGAGTTTCTGGATGATTTGCTCTTTATTTCATGATAAGAATGAGCTTTAAGTGAAATCATTTCATGGCAGCAGCAGCAGCAGCAGCAGCAGCAGCAGCAGCACTGCTGTATATGTGATAAGATGATCCACTTACCCATCAGAAGGAGCAGAAACAGACTCCACTGCATCTTTGCTCTGTTAGATGAAACTGATATTTCAGTGTGCTGTGAACCAAACACAATGGATTTAACAAATATTGTCAGTAAAATAAAAAATAAACATTTTAACTCTTAACTGTGTGTCCATTAAAAACAAGAAATACACACACAAACAAAGGTCACCACCCCCTCCAGTTTATGAGGAAGCAGAATGATGTTTAGCAGCTAATATGCAAATTAGGATGAAACCTGCATGAACAGACTCACACTGTGAAACTGTCACTGTTTTCCAGCTCATTAAAATTTCTTATTTGAATAAAACACAAATAATGTAATGCATCAGGCTGAGCCAATAACAAACAAACACCTGTACAGTATAGTGCGACACAACAACCCTGCATATTGTTTGTTATCATGCTCTGGTTTTCATATATTCACCTTACAATACACTGCTACTAATGCAGAATTAAATTGTTTACTGTTTCTTCAATATATAGATTTAACACCCAAAAGCATGCAGAAGAAGATACGTAGTGTTTTCTCAGCCCTGAGTCTGCAGAGCAGGCTGCATGCATCCCAAAAAAGCTCCATAAACCAAATCCTGAGCCTGAGAGGTAAAACCCAGGGCAAGAAGACGTCCACTGGCCTCACAAAGCTTCACAGTATTGAAGCATTGTTGGATTTCTTTGCATTATAATGTCAGGTGTTCTTGTTATTGTGTCCACTCTTTGTAAAACACGCTGAACTTTGCATGAAATTAAAACTTTAAAATGATAAACTGTGATTATAAAACATGTCACAAATGAGCTGAGCTGTTTGCTAAATCTGGCAAATACAAAAAGACAAAGTGCAAATCTGATTTGATTTGAAATGATGTGAAATATATACTGAAAAAAAGACATTACTGTTCTGTCCACCTCTGCACACACACAATAAATAATATATCAAAGTGACACAACAGAATCATAACTTACATCTTCTGTCCTCCTCTCAGCCGCTTCACTCTGGTGTCTCTCCTTGTGTGCTGATGAAGACTAAAATGTCCCCCAGGTAGATGCTCTCTTTGAGCCGCCTTCACCTGACGTCAGCATTTGAATATCAAAATACTGAAGTCAAAAATGTCCAAAGTCCAGAAAGGATCTATTGATGACAAGAACATCATTTACATGATGCAGCAGGAAATAAAAAGAGGAACACACTTTCCTGTTTTCTGTCCAACGAGCAGAAAACAAGGTGTCATACCTAAATATCCACTAATAAGGAGAATAAACTGAACTCATGTTTGTTACTCTGAAAATATAGATTTTTTGCATTGTCAGAAATATAATTATTGTTATGCCAGCAATGATTTGAACATATTTTTGTTGTTATTCTGTTTCTTTTCATTCACACTCACAGGCAAAGTCAACAATGCCATCAGTTTACAGTGAAACTAAAGTCCATTTATACGACAATAAATAAGTCTTTAGGTTAGCCTGTACACTATATTTGTACTGGTACTACTTGTACTGACTGTAAATTCTGTAAATGCATGTTTCTCAGTTATTTGCTTCAACAGTAATTTAATTTGTATGTGTTTCAATAGGTTTGTGGTGTCAAACTCAGCTTAAAGGAACAGTGTGTCAGACTTAGGGGGATTTAGTGGTGTCTAGCAGTGAGGATTGCAGATTGCAGAAAGCTTCTCCAGGTCAGGATTCCTCCAGTGTTCATTGTTCAGGAGGTTTTTACTGTGAGCTGAATTATCCGCAGAGGTCTCCTCCTCTCCAGAACAAACACAACAGGTGATTAAAACCAGTAAAACACTGATTAAAGCAGTTCTATTTCATCCCTGCTGACCGCCAGAGGCGGTGCTTTAAGCAGTGAATATTCCCCTTTGCGCATGCGCAGTTCAAGTATGTATATCAACAATGTCACCTGTGACCCCTGGATGAACCAAAAGAGACTATATCTTCCGGTGACATCAACTGCATTTCAAACTTATATCCCTTATATCTGTGGCCATTTTCAGTCGGAGCAGCGGACATTCGGCCACCAAGAACTGCGACGGCATTCTTTCCCTCTTGAGAGGTGTTTAACTAAGTTTGGTTCAGTGTGGACGCGGTGCGTCCCTTTGCCGGTAAGGCAGCGTTTCATTTCCCTCTCCGGAGAAGGTATGTAACTCCTAAGTTGTTGCATACTAATGTTATATTACCTACTTTGTTAAACTTGTTGATGAAAGTTGCGTTCGCGCAACATCTTCCTGGCACTTGATTTACTCTGATTGAGTTAACGTTGTCTGTTTCTGGAGTTTTTTCTGCTGGAGGGTTGCATTAGTGCTCCCCAGTTGCCAACGTGTATAGCCCGTTGTTTATTTAGCGGTAGCATCCGCACTAAAGTTTATTTTGAGTTTGTTATAATCAACCTGTGTTGGTGAATGCTGCGTGAGCGCTGCCTCTCAGCATCCTGTGCAGAGGCCAGCCCGTGACTTTCGGGATTCTGCCCACCTGCCCTCCAGGCAACCTCGAGCCCTGTATCCTTCCTGTCCGCCCCCCCTCCAGGACCCCCAGGGGCCGGGGGGCCATGAACTGAGGCCTCGGGGGTCGGCTGTCGGGTATTTCTCCCATCAGCAGCTCAATTACTGGGCTGCTCACACTTCAGACCCGTGGGTGGTTGCCACCTTAACCCACGGGTACAAGATTCAATTCCGATGGCAGCCCCCTACATCCAGCCAGGTCAGAATGACCGTCATCAGCGACCCGGCAAAAGCCCTAGCATTGGACCCGGACTTATCCGCCCTCCTGGCCAAGGGCACCATCGAGGCTGTAGACCCCCTGTCACACCCCAGGGGGTTCTACTCAACATACTTCCTCGTGCCAAAAAAGACCGGCGGATTTCGTCCAGTCTCAGATCTGAGGGGACTGAACAGGTTTATGAAGGTCATGCCATTCCACATGTTGACCACGGCAGATGTTCTGCGAACTGTTGCCCAGGGAGAATGATTTATGTCCATAGACCTGAAGGACGCTTATTTTCATGCTCCCACACCGGCAGTTTCTGCGTTTTGCCTATTGAGGCCGCCACTGGCAGTTCAGGGCTCTCCATTTGGACTCTCCCTCTCCCCAAGGGTGTCCACAAGATGTGTGGCAGCGGCCCTTGCGCCTCTGCAGTCTCAGGGCATGAAGGTTCTTCCGTACCCCGACAATCGGCTGATCTGTGCCCCATCCCGGACTCCGGTGTCCCAGGATACAGAGCATCTCCTGTCCCACGTGGCCCACCTAGGCCTCAAGGTAAATATGGAGAAGAGTTGTCTGGAACCATCTCAGACCACAATTTTCATTGGTGTAGAATTGAACACTGTAACTATGACAGCTTGACTATGACGTCTGTTGCCCTTGGTCACGTTTCTTCAGCTTTTGGGCAAACTAACATCCGTTTCAGCTATTGTTCTGCTGGAATTGCTATCGCTGCGCCCCCTGCAGAGGTGGTTGAACAGCTTCCACTTGGATGCCAGGTGGCACAGACGCAGGAAGCTCAGGGTGTCGCAGCAGTGTCTCCTCGCCTTGGCCCTGTGGAGGGACAGCGCCTACATGACAAGGGGTGTCCCTATGGGCTCTATTCCATATTGCAGGGAGACTGTCACTACAGACGCCTGCCCCTTGGGATGGGTGCAGTGTGGCAGAGCAGAACGGCTCACGGATGGTGTTCTGTGGACGACCGCACCGAACACATCAATGTGCTGGAGTTGCAAGCGGTGCACCTAGCTCTCAAGTACTTCCTGCCGTACCTGAGAGGCAAGTATGTCCTCATACGGTCAGACAACACCTCAACTGTGTAACATATCAACCATCAGGGTGGGGCCAAGTCTGCAAGGCTGCTGCAGCCCCCCACTTGATCAGCCTATGGGCAATATATCTACCGGGAGAGCAGGACCACCTTGCAGACTTCCTCTCCCATCAAAAGCCTCCATCAGGGGAGTGGCGCCTCCACCACGAGGTGGTACACACCATCTGGAGCCTCTTTGGCAGAGCAGAGGTGGGGAGTGGGGAGCCACAGTCTGGTCTCCCTCTTCTTGAAGGAGGCTCAGAGGGTGCTTCCTCCAAGAGCCACGAGACCCCCAGCATGGGATCTTGCCCTGGTGCTGGATGCACTATGCAGGCCTCCCTTTGAACCCTTGGCACAGGCAGAGCTGAAGTGGGTGTCATATAAGGCCGCATTATTCCTGGCCATTCCCTCTGCGAAGCGTGTCAGTGAGCTGCATGCTCTGTCTGTCAGTGACTCATGTCTGAGGTGGAACTCAGATGGATCAGGGGTCACTCTATGGCTGAACCCAGTTCCTCCCTAAGGTGCTGTCACGCTTGCACCTCATCCAGCCTATAAGGCTTGCACGGTTTGACCCTTTGGTCCTAGCAAGGGTTGCACTCTCTCTAAACAGCGTCTGTCACACTGCATTGTGGATGTCATCCGCAATGCATATGGGGCGAGTAACCGTCCTCTGCCATCCGGTGTGAGGTGCCACTCTACCAGGAGTGTCTCCACATCATCCGCGGCCCTGAGAGGAGTATCCCTGGAGGACATTTGTGCTGCTGCCTCATGGGCATCACCAGACACTTTCTCTACATTCTACAGAGTGAATGTTCCCACTCCCCATCCACTGGGTGTGGTCCTGTTACCAGAATCCTCCGATTCTACTCATTGAGGTTTCTAATCTGGATTCCTCGTGACTTTGCTGGTATGAGTCATTCAGTGCTTCAAGCACTTCAAGCATCGCCTCTGGCGGTCAGCAGGGATGAAATAGAATGAAAGTTACGAATGTAACTACGGTTCTGTGAATCCCGAATGACCACCAGAGCACTCTGTCACTCAGAATCCTTGTGTTCTCAAGAGAATATTCTGTAGGAAATGATCCTCTGATGTCACCGGAAGATATAGTCTCTTTCGGGTCATCCAGGGGTCACAGGTGACATTGTTGGTATACATACTCAAACTGTGCATGCGCGAAGGGGAATATTCAGTGCTTAACGCACCGCCTCTGGCAGTCATTCGGGATTCATAGAACCATAGTTACATTCGTAACTTTCGTTTTATATTACAAATCAGTGTTTCTCTAATGTTGTTGGGCACGTGATGGACAGGCTGCTCACCGAGCTCCTGCTAATGTGGGCTCATCTTGTTTTTTCTGCAACTTAAGACTCAGACGTTCAGGGGGTTTATACCAAGAGCTAAATTATCCGCAGAGATCCCCTTCTCTCCAAAACAAATGGACGGAGGTTATTTGAAACTGAAAAAATATGTACATATAAAATATGTAGATATAAATAGCCCCTTCTAAGGGTACAAAAACATGATGATTTGTATTTCCAGGTGATTATACACTAAATAAAACATCTTATTATATGATTTTCCATTTCTACCAATATGTCCCCCTACATCCTACACCCTGGACCTTTATAAAAAAAACTATTTTTCTTTCTTTTCTTTTTTTTTTGTGGTTTAGGGTCTTGTTGCTGCTTTTTAGTATGTTTCACACAACCAAAACTCACATTGTAGCTCAAGTTGGGCCCCTAACATTATAAGTGTGACATCATTTTTCCATGTCTATTCAAATAGCTTCTATTTGCAGGTGACATTTTGCATGTGCAGAGGGAAACAAGTAGAGAACAAAGCCTGTTTGTTTTTTTGTTGTCTTTATTGAAGGGTGATGGATGGAGAGACAGGAAAATTAGTTCCAGGAAAGAACCCCGTCCATGCTCACTTATCTCTTCAAATCCCATGTAAATGTTACATCACTATAACATTAATGCAAAGCTTTTTTAAAAAAAAAAAAAATAAATAAATCTACAGCAGAGAATCATCCTAAAAAACAACCCTAAAGTCTCAGTTCATCAGTTTCCACGGAACACAACAACAAAATATTAAAGTGTACTCATCATGCTTCTTGTTTAAACAGGAGCAGAGAACCTTTCCATGACGAGGAGTACTTGAAAAGACATGTACAAAGCCGTGGGATCAGAGGTCACTGGTGAGTGAGTCAGTTACAGAGAAATGAGTGGACTCTATGCTGTGGTCAGTCTGCTGCCATCTGCTGGACATAATGAAGTACAACATGGGAAGCCATTCACAAATCCACGTCTAAGAAACAATTTAGACTGGGATCAGA